CCCACCACGGCGCCAAAAAAATTTCGGTCAGTGTACCATTTTAGGGGTCAAAAAATTTTTCCGTACAACCAATTTTTTTCGGAACATATCACAAATTTTCGAAAAATCGCAAAATTTGCAAAAAAATTGACTTAATTTTAGACAAAATTGACAGAATTTGTCCCATTTTTTTTATTGCAAGCCAAAATTGCCCGACTGTTGATCGCATATTGCCCGACTGCCCAAAAAACTGGGGGGGGGCTGCCGCCCCCCCCGCCCGGTACGCCTATGCATCTGTAGGTATTTAGTGGCAAATAGAAAGGACTGAGAAATATGTACTTTAATATATTTGTCAAAATTTCTGACGTTGACTACCATGAACACTTACTGAAACCCACGAACAAAAAATTCACAATGATAATCTTACGGCAAGTGCAGAAAATGGGGAAGTGCAGAAAATGATTCTTCTTACCTGTACCAAATTCTCCATCCGCACCCTCTCCTTGTTGCCCAGGCTTGCCATGTGCTCCAAAACCACTACACGTGATCACCATGCCATCGTTAAGCTGCGCAACAAACGACGCATGCGTACAGAACACAGGAGGATCTGGTTCAGATGGTATCTTGTCACTTTCGACTACGACATCCTCGTGAAATGACGCTGTCTTCTCATTCGCTTCAAACTCGCTCTTTTCAACACCCTCGTCATTCGGTTCATTTAGGCCGGCGACATCCTCCTCGGTTTTCTCTCGACTCTCTGTATTCTCCGCTTTAGAATCAACACTAATGTTGCTTGGCTGTTCTGGTAAAATTTCCTCTTGCGGTTCAAGAAAATGCAGTTTCAAAATGTTTCCATCTTTGTGTACAGAAGTGGAAACAAAGTTCGGACCTCGAACATACTGTGTCTTCTCAACTCGGATCTCACCACCATCGCAAGGGAACATAGAGGACTGAACACCAGTCACGTGTATCAGATCATCACCTACGTCATACCCTAGGAAATCGTACTCTACGTCGGCATCCATCGCGCCTTGGTCGTCAACCTCTGGTTGTGTTTCCACTTCATGTACAAGACGTGCCTTGCTTCCTTTCGTTGCAGCTGATGTCGTTCTGTTTTTCGATGGACTGCCTAGCAAAGCGAAATAAAGTTACATATCAACCTTTTACCACAGGCAGATCTACGAGATTGGTCTGCGCTCTTCACTTTTAAGCGCTAAACATTTCCAAAGGGGTTAGACTTGTCGTTCGGGATTAGCTACCCTGGACACCCCCACCCCGTACGCCTATGGGCCCTCGTACCACCAAAAAATCAAGATAGATGTTTTTCACATGGTCGAAAATGACTTGATCACGACAGCAACGGTATACCACACAGAAACCAGGTAGCATCTAAAGGCCCAGACACACCGAATGCAATTCGACAACGTGGCCTTCATTCTTTTTATTTTCAATGACATACAACTTTGATTCTGGTTGATGTTTTGAAATATTTGAATGAAATTTGCAGTGAACCATGATTAAAACAACAGTCTTTAACCATTGTACTGCACTTAGGACAACAAGCATTTTAAAAACAAATACCTTTCTTTTCCCCAGCACTTTTCTTGCCACTTTTAGGTGTCCTACTCCGAGCACTTCGCTTTCCTTTTTTCTTTCCCTTGTCTTCCTCCTCTGCTTTCAGCGCAGCGATCTCTGCTCTCGTTTTCAAACCGTAACGGCTGCCAATCTGTGAAGAAAATTTTAAATGAAATGTTATACAAGAACATTTCTCCCTAGAGGTCCAGTAAAGATGATTCCTTAATGGTCAAGCGTCACTACAGGAGGAAGGAGGAAACCTAAACAAAACTGACTTTATTTATACTGGACAGCCCTATCAGTTCTAAACTGTTCTTCCTAGAGGTCCAAGTAAGGATCACCCTTATTGATCCAGTGTTACTACAGGAAGAAACCTAAACTAAACTAACTTTATTTCTACTGGATAGCTCTATCAGTTCTAAACAGTTCTCCTCAGAGGGCCAGAAAGGATCATCCCTTATTGGTCCAGTGTTACTACAGGAGGAAACCTAAACTAAACTAACTTTATTTATACTGGATAGCTCTATCAGATCTAAACAGTTCTCCTCAAAGGTCCACTAAGGATCATCCCTTATTGATCCAGTGTTACTAGAGGAGGAAACCTAAACTAAACTAACTTTATTTATACTGGATAGTTCTATCAGTTCTAAACAGTTCTCCTCAGAGGTCCACTAAGGATCATCCCTTATTGGTGCAGTGTTACTCTAGGAGGAAACCTAAACTAAACTAACTTTATTTATACTGGATAGCTTTATCAGTTCGAAACAGTTATCAATGGTAAGAAGTACACTCACCTTGATTTCAGTTTGCGGTGGTTCTGGTGTAGGAGGAACAGGTGTCGGAGTTTTGTTATTCTCCTCTTCAATTCTCTCTTGTTGAAGATTCCAGTCATGGATCATACAACTGATATGTTCCAGGTAGTTCCTGAAGCCAACATCAGAGAGAAGTCTTACATTCCATCTTGATGTATTCTGGAGTTGTTTACCCACCGGGTTGTGATAGACCAGTAACAATGTATCATCGTGTTTGTGGTAGTACGTGTCGACGAATGGGTGGGAATGACGGGCATCGTCGAGAACCTAATACAAGAAAATTTCTAATTAACCTTTTGCAAGTGGGAAACTTAATATAAATCTAAGCAAGTGTTAGATTTAAAAGCCTGGTTTCCATATGGTTGTGATAAGATTGAGTCACGATCTTTCTCAACCGCCGAAATCATATGACAACAGTTTAGAACTGAAAATAAACAGAGTGATTATAAAAAGAGAATGATAATGATTTATACGTGGTTTAATTACAGGTAGGAACTATTATAATCTGGCCGTTGAGAAAGATCGTGTCTTTATCTTTAAGACCATTTGGAAACCGGAGTTCTAAACTGTTTTTCCTAGATGATCTACCTGAGTGAATGTAGTTCGATCAAATTCTTCAACATAACACCAATCATCAAGGTTCCTAAACGACACAAGACGAACTGCCGCAGACACGCTGCCTAGATCTTTTACGTCATCATTGATCATGCCTTGATCACGTGCGTTGAAATACTTGGAGAAGTCAGAATATGGATCATCCCAAGGATTGTTGTAGGAAGAGAATTTTTTATCCAACTGTTGCGGTTCGACAATATTTCCAGTAGCTTCGACCGATTTCAGAGGTATACCTAAAGAAAACATTGGATGAGGTTTTCAGTTGGTGAAATGCTGGAAGTAGCCTACAGACGTATAGTTAGTGAATGCAGTGGTTTCTCACTGTATGATCTGGGTTCAATTCCTGCAATGTGTAGTTGGTCTGATTGTCATTTTGCCTCAACAGCATGTGAGAAGACCACTTCGATCCAGTTTACTTACTTACAGGGATGGATCCAGCATGATCTGGTAGGGGGGTGCTCTGGTGCTGACTGCCGAGTTGTGTCGGTCATGTGTGCCGCCTGCCTATCAACTACTGTATTTGAATTGTAATTGTTGTTCACAGTTCACTTATCATCATGTTTTTACTCAAATTACTGTATCTCATTTTGTCTTTTTTGCTTTATCATGAAAAATAGCACCCCCCCTGGCCAGGACTGAGGGGGGTGCGCACCCCCCCCCACAGTAAATCCAATCCCTGCTTACTTACTTACTTAAAAATTTATTTAACACATATTTGTGTAATAATAGCAATGTGACCTATCGAAACCTACCTTCAAACGTGTATTTCTTTAAAAGGTAGGAAACATTCTCGGCACTTGGAAATGAACAATGTTGTATAAATTGATGAAATCTCGCACTGCTTTCCATGAATTCAGTAACCGTTCTTCTTGGAAATATATCAAGAGCTCGTGGTGCTGCTGTATCTAACATGGTACGTTCTGTATCAAGGCCATCAAGAATGGAGAGATCCTCCAAGTAATGCAAACGTTGAGAAAGCTTGTCGTTGTGCTCCAGTATCACGGGGACTTTCGCGTCTTCACGTCGTTTGTTCACGTTGTCCGTTTCAAGTATTTCCTAAAACACAGTATAGAAGTTATAATGAACATATAATCATGAAAATAAGATATCCTCACAATATGCATATGCCAGCCTGTTCAATTATCAGCTGAGGTGTTTCGAGTTCAGGTAGATCACGTTTCCCTAATCACGGCTGGCAACAGAGTCTAACTTGCAGCAACCTGTAAAAAGCTGCTTAAATTTTTCTTTCAACATGTCAGGAATAAATCGTTGTAAAAAGTCTGTTGAGGCAAAACTCTGGAAATAGCAGGTAAACAGTCAACAGTCTGGGGGTAAAAAACAATGCGGGCACAACTTGATAGAAACTTCTTGAATTAGAACAAACAAGTCGGCACAGCCTACTTTACCTGTTTTTCTACAGATGATAAAGCCAGATCTGCCATTTTTGAATTAATATGAGCAGCAAGATCATTATCTAAACCATCCTCCCTTGTTTCTGTCTGTTTAGCCAGAGGATTAGTCTCATCCACTGTAGCAACTACCTGGGTGTATGATAGAGAAGAATTCTTGATTAATCGAATACTTCTTTAGGGAAGTGCATAAGGGAAATGCATACTTGGCCTAAAACTAAACTTGTTGTTAAGGAGGAAACTTAAATTAAATCTGGATAGCTCTATCACTTCTAAACTGTTCTCCCTAAAGGTTCAGTAAGGGTCATTCTTTATAGATCTAGTGTTACTGCAGGAGGAAACTTAAACTAACCTAACTTTACACTGGATAGACCTACATCAGTTCTAAACCTTTCTTCAAAAACGTTCAGTAAAGGACATCCCTTATCCAGGCGTTACTACAATAGAAAACAGGAGAACCCGTATCTGGTATAGTCAAACTAAATATTACATAATTTTGAACCTTGGACACAAATGTACCACCACTGATCCACCACAAGTTTCTACATGATATTACCAAGAAAAACCGGATCTTACGTAAGATGCGAGCTTAGGGATCGAAATCTTTGCAGTAATAAATTTACGTGGTGTTTCCATAAACAAAAATGTTTTATCGCCATGCAATTCTACAAAGAACTTATAATGATATTACCTGTTCCACAAGGCAGTGAAGTACAAGAGGTACACTGATGCTCTCGTCAGGAATACTGTGTACAAGATGATTGTAATAACGCATGTCTATCTCGACTTGGTTTGAGGTATCTGTATGATGCAAGAAGTGTGATGATTGAAGTTAGAAAGATGACAAAACGAAGAGCTTAAGATTTAAGAAACTAGGGGAAGAGGTGGAAAGAAGACGTTGGAAATTTGAACAATATAAGCAACGGTACACGATTGAACGCAAGACATAAAATGTTCAGATACTGCATTGCTGCCAGGCTGGCAAAAAAAAACAACTGAAGGAAAAGAGGAAATTATATCTGGGAGTCATTTATTCAATTAATGCAAAACATGATCGAAGAGCCAGGGGGGAAAGCAGTTTATGAAACAAACGAAGCAGTTTATGATAACATATAGGCTGTGCCCGGCACTGCATGGTACCCAATGTTCAAACTGGTTCCCAAAATATTTTTATGGCATTACTTCTGGAGGTATAGTACTCGTGTTCAAACTAGGCGCCAAAACAAGTGACGGGCACCAGTGCCAGGCACCCAGTCTGAACGCAGCCATACAGTACATACCTGTAGCAACTGCTGCAGACTGACCAGCAGTTTGGCTATCTGTCTTAATACTTGGTGTATGAACTGGAATACGAAGTAATTTCATCGCAGCAAGGAAACGTTGATAAGATTTCTGATGATCTAACATATCATAACACACGTTCGCAATCTTCTCAAATATCGCCGTACCAAGTTCAGTCTGAAAACAAATTAAAATGAAATTTATTTTGACAGGAAATTGAGCAAGGAAGAAAATCGCAGACTTAGCAACCAGGAAGTCGCAAAATCCAGAAATCTACAAATCACGTGCGGGATATTAATTGGGATTTATACACGAATTGACTATATTCTTTTGCCTTATGAGCTCTCGCCTGGAATTAATTAATATACACCCAATCAAATGGACCTATTACCTAATAACCAAAATTTTGATCTAGACAAGTCTAGACAAAAATTTCATCACAGCTTGAAAGATCATCACAAAATTAGTAATATTCCAAAGTTTCGTTGCGATTAATGTTGTAAAACGCGGATAATATAGCCCTGCGAAGTTTGCCGTTTTTCAGTCATTTTGTATTACGCGCGGGAAATTGATACCTTTTTTCAGAAAAATACAAAATGACTGAAAAACGGCAAATTTCGCAGGGCTATATTATCCGCATTTTACAACATTTCGCAACGAAACTTCGGAATATTACTGATTTTGTGATGCTCTTTCAAGCTGTGATGAAATTTTTGTCTAGACTTGAAATTTTAGTTATTAGGTAATAGGTCCATTATTTACAATTTTAACATCAGAAACATCGTTTCGCACAATGGGATATGGCGTAACATGCAATTTAATGTACCTTCTTTTCAGCTTCAACATCAGCCAGACTTTGATGAGGAGGCAAAGTATTAGATACAGTCACTTCATACTTGGCGATATCTTTCAGTTTATGTCCTGTAGGAGCACTGAGTACAAGCTCGTCAGACTCTCTCCAAAACGTGACAAGTTCTTCCTCATCTTTTGAAGATTCATCAATCACTTCATCATCCTTCACTCCTTCGTCTACCTCTCCAGTCTAGAGAAATATACACCAGAGTTTAAATATAACTGTCAAAGCTATGTAACAATTTTTCGTTGTTCTCTGTTCACAGTGTCAGTATGAAACTAGCTTCTCATGAAGAAAAACACCGAGTTTGGCAAGAGCTAATTATGTATAGAAAGCGGGATGAAAAACTCCATACGAACGCACGGAAATATACGTCATTTTAACAGTCCCCTGAACTTCTTCCTAGAGATCCCATAAATGAATGCAACTCCTTATAGACCCATTGCACATGACGTCACAGCGCCAGTGACGATGCATCTGGAGGACAAATTAGCATTCTATGCATAATATAATTTTTTGTAAACAAAGCAAATTTTGTAAAACTTTATAATAATTTTGTATTAAAATGGTTCATTTTTGCGCTGTATGTGGTTTTTGTACCCGAACAGATATTGTTAGGGAGCATCTGGAGGACAATCTAAGGATTTGTGACGTCAGTGCAATGGGTCTATTTTTCCAGTTTTACCACAGGAGATAGTAAACTAAGTACAGCATGTTCAATCTCCTGACTGTATGTCAATACCTCAGGCTCAGCTTCGACATCCTCATGAATTTCTTCTGTGAGATGTGCTGGAGGTTCAGTTCTGTATTCATCTTGTTGTAGTTTGATAATGGCATTCACATGAACACCAATGTTTGCAAGATGTTGTAGGGTGGGTGCAGAGAGGAAACCATGAATGAGAACATAGTGTTGAGGACTGCCTTCTTCATCTGGCTCATCATCTACATAAAAACGGAATGGATGGATCTGCTTGATCAATGATCAGTAGAGTCAGGAGTGATAGTGTTGGTGATAATGGTGGTGAATGGTAGTGACAATAGCTGTGATGATTGTAGTGGTGATGGTAGTCACAACAGTTGTGATGATGGTAGTGATGATGATAGTGATGATGGTGGTGATGATGGTAGTGATGATTGTAGTGGTGATGGTGTTGGTGATGATGATAGTGATGATGGTAATGATGATGGTAATGATGATGGTGTTGGTGATGATGGTAGTGATGATCATGGTATCATGGTAGTGATGATGGTGTTGGTGATGATGGTGTTGGTGATGATGGTGTTGGTGGTGTTGGTGGTGATGATGGTGTT